TACTTTTCACTTGGAAAAATATGTTTTGTAAAACTTAGTAAATCTTGGATATTGAAAAATATGCTTAGTAAAATTAGATATTGAAAAATGGGATAGTAAACTGGGATATATTTCTTCGTTTGGGGAACATAATTTTTCGTTTTCGAATTATTGTTTTCACAAGCAACAATTTCATCTATGAAAGGAATATAAATAAAATTTTGCGAATTATTAGAGAATTCTGACTTGGTATGTATTCTTCATTATATTAACAGGAATGTATTGTAAATATCAGCAATATAAGCAATATATCATCAACAACAGCATGTTAGCTTTCATTGCACTTATAAGTGAACAATAAACACATTGGATATTACTTTTGACCTCTGTGGCAACGCACTTTGAAAAAATTACGCACTTTGAAAAAATTTCAAAGTGCGTTAAATTTGGGACAAAATCAACGCACTCTGAAATTTTTTTCAAAGTGCGTTAAGAGTGTACATCAATATTTTAAACCATGGAGAAACTTAACGAACTTTGAAAAAATATGTATAAAACAAAAAAAATTTGGACTAAGATTTTAGTAATATATTGCATCATTTTGTTATATTTCTTTCGAAAAACTGATTTACCCTCATCGAGAGCGAGGACAAGACAGGTAGAAGGTCACTCAGCCCAACTCTTTATCTTTCCTACCCAAATATATGTATTTAAATAACTGGTATACAATTGACATACTTTCTCTCAAGAAATTTGAGAGTATATATGAAAATCAATGAAAAAAGTGAGATAAACTTCGGTGAAAAAAAAAAAAAAAACGCACCATGTTATATTTAAGAAGAGAGGCTCATGGAACATATCGCTGATCTAAGCAACAAAAGCCAACTAACTGTATTTTGGCCAAATTAGCTCTTCAAAATCAAATACAATACAAATCAAAATTGTATAATATGCATAAATAATTAATTTTTCATACCTCTCAATACTATAATCACTGTTTAAAAAAGAGCCGTCATATTGTGCGGGAATAAATATTTTTTCATGCTTATCAAATCACTATTTTTAAAAAAAACATCATATTATGATTTTTTTTTTAATGAGCTTACAAACTTGGACCCATTTTGTCGCATTTCTCGTACATGTAGTCCTATAGGTCATATTTGAAAAAAAAAATGAAAAATCTAAATACAGTAAAGTATAAGGAAGTCCTTAGTACATTGCAATTTAGTTCGTTTAAAATTGAAAGTCCATTAATATTCATTGCCATCATACGTACATTAGGCGTCGGAACCGGGGGGAGGGGGAGGTAGGGCGGCTTAGCCCCCCCCACCCCAAAAAAAACTTTTTTTGCAAAGATAGACGTAATATAGGCATTTGCTAGAATATTGACCAATCCGTGCACATTTTTTCAAAGTGCATTAATATGGTCGATATTAACGAACTTTGAAAAGAAATATTTTTTTTTAAAGTGCGTTAACTTTGTTTCAAATTTAACGCACTTTGAAAATTTTTTTCAAAGTGCGTAATTTTTCAAAGTGCGTTGTAACAGAGCTTTTTTTCTTTTCTCTTTTTTAAAGCATTGATTTCTTATTTTTGGATGTCGTCGGTCCTATAACACACCTGGCCGTGCCGACAAATTGAATACCGCGCGTTAGCGCGTTACGATAATTTGTCGGCACGGCCAGGTGTGTTATAGGACCGACGACATCAAAAAAAAAAGAATTCAATGCTTATATTTACATTCTCTAATTTTCTCTCTTCGTAATTGTTTATTTCGTTAATCTTTATTATGAATTTAGCGCCTTCAGAACTGGGGTGCTAAATAGTCGTAAGAGCCGTTTGTGACGTCGGAAAGGTAAATAACGCAAATGAATATTGCGAGAAGAAAAATGACAAATTAATTTTAAAGGCACAGTTGTTGTATTTTACGTTAATTTAACAGGGTAGTTTTTTTTTTATTATTAAATTGAGTTAAAACAATATACATATTGGTGTTCTTAGATATTGAAAATGCATATAGTTCCTACTGTGTATTCTACCGCGCGGTGACAAGGTTTCGATTTGAACGTCGTAGATTTCTAATGGACTTCATAAAGAAAATTACACTGAATATTTTTTTTATTGAACACATCCTTTACGTCATCGTTTTAATTCGGAATGAAATTATAAGTATTATAACTTTCGATTTCTTTTTTAAATTAGAAACTACTAGACTTACGGTATTCGGAGAACCTCAGAAAAAAAATTGAGCTCAAGGACAGTTTAGATATGTTGCTTTGAAGAAGATTGGAAATATTGCAATTGCAACAATCTAACAAGCACTCAATGGTATACAACCACTTTTCAAAAATATACTAATATACTTTAATTTTGATGATATAATGAAGTTTATAGATCAAGCACCTTCTGTTAAAAATGATAAAATTAACAAGATGTGTTTGTGAAACTCCGATGCTTATGGCGAAGGTTAACGTTTCTCAAATGCAAGTCAATCTCCAAGGTCAAGGTAAAGAGATCAAAAACGTTGTTTCCCAAAGAAAGGACTTGTGTCAGTGGATATACCTTATAAATATGAAATCCTAAGCACCAACCATTCAAAAGATATGGTCAAGGTTAATGTTTTCTAAAAGTGAGTCAAACTCCAAGGCCAAGGTCAAAGGCTCAAAATCAACGCAGGGGAAAACCTTGTCATAAGAAATACTGATGCAAAATATAAGAGCTCTAGCACCAATTATTCGAAAATTATGGCGAAGGTTAAAGTTTTTTAAATATAGGTCAAACTCTATGGTCAAGGTCCAAAGGTCAAAAATATTTACACCCATGGAAAGGTCTTGTCACAATGTATACACCTGTGAAACATGAAAACCCTAGCACCAACTGTTCAAAAGTTATGGCCATTTGTAATGTTAATTGTAATTTTTTCAAAAGTGGGTCAAATTTTAAGGTCAAGGTCAAGAGGTCATATATGTTGGTACCCAAAGAAGGTCTTGTCACAAGGAATACACATGTGAAATATGAAAGCCATTGCTCTAACCAAACAAATAATAATGCAAGTCAACTCCAAGGTCAATATTTATGACCCCATAATATTATACGAAACAAGTGCCTGTGGGTACATGTACATAACTTACTTTTTCATGTTAAGGCCTCTTTAGATACATCTCCAAATAATCGGGGAAATCTCTCTAAAGAAATGCACAATGACCAAGGTTTTCTTCCTAGGAAGATATCCTACGACTACCTCTACGATAAATCCCGATTTGCTGCGATTTTTGAATTCGCAATGAATCGTAGCTATAAATCGTGACAGTGTGACATTGGGCTTAAGCAACATTTAATAAGAATTAAAACTCTTCTGATAATGAAATATAATGAAAATAAAAATATTGTAATACAATAAATTTCATAGCCGTAGGACCCCCCCCCCCCCATAACATGCCAAGAAATCTCGTCCATTTTTCCAAAGCGATGGAGTCAATAAAAATGTAATTGATGCAAATCACCCATATTCCCCTAACACTGGCGAGACAATTATGAGGGGGTGGTACCTAAGTTTTCCGTTTTCTTAGTAAAAGAAAAATAAACTTCTACCCCAGGAAATTCTCCGAAGTAGCCTCCTATGCCCTGAAAAAAATAGTTCCTGTCAAAAACCTTCATTTATTTACAAAATATGTAAAATGCACTAGACACAGGTACCAAAATTTTAAAAATAGACTGGAAGGAAATAAAAAAAAATTCAAAAGAAAAAAAATAATTGTATATGTATGGAACTACAATGTATGATACCTTTTAAGGCGCGAGACTTCCACAACAACCAAGTTCATCGTGCCCATGTTAATTTATACTAGGGAAACAATATTTTGATATGGAAACACTGAAAAATTTGAAAGGCGTCTAATTTTTACTGAACAATTAATTAGTTTACTATAATTTATTTCACTTTCTTTTTCTTCTATTTTACTTTTTTTAACCGCATATGATTTGCATGGAAAATTCCCCCCCCCCTCCAAATAAATAAATAAATAAATAAAAAATGAATAAATAAAAACGGGAAAAAAGGTGCAAAGGCTTCTAAATAACAAGTATTCTAGTGTAACGGGAAACCTGTACGTTTCCATGTTAATCCAGATTCAGTGATTTACAGAGAGAAACACATTTTTAAAGGTTAACAAAGGTTTATTAAATGAAATAAATAAATAAATAAGTTACAATTAACAATATTACAAGTCTAGGGGATGGTGGATACCTACTCACAGCTTGTCTCAGTCTAGCACTGATCTAATCTGGCCGTTGCGAACGTCACGGTGGTCAGGCCGTTAACAGACGTCCAGACGTTGTCCCGAACGGCCTGACACACGCGCAAAGTCGGCAACGAACCCGACATTAAATGTAGTATAATAATAATATAATAATAGTATAATGTTACACAACACAATATTACAATAATTATTCATTTTAATACGTGACTAGATACATTGTAATAAATAACAAAGATTTAATAACATATATAGATACTATAATTAAATCATCCACCATTACACTAGCTTCAATTTAAAACCAGTAAAACTTATGACCCTTCCCTCAAAACTGCTGACATTAATTGTCTCGCGCACATCTCCCTGGGGGGAAAATCACAGATTAACGCTAATTCCGCTTTTATTGAGTTCGCTCTAAAACTATAATGCGTACTTTTTCTTGGCATGATTTTGCCGATATATACCGAAAAATGTATATTTGTGCCCCCTCAACGTGAAATTGCTTAAATTCCTACGGGCCTGAAATTGACAATTAGAATATTATTACTTGACATCCATCACCTGCAGAAATCTTCGACATCTCTTTACTGAACATACATCTAGGGTATCACGAGTGAAAAGTGTGTGGCCGATTTGATCATGCTTTGCATCAGTATATTACTAACTGCGTTATCAGACGCATTAGATCAATCCGGAATTACCTGGGGTTACTGAATATTTTCTAAGCTTTAGACTTTAACTGGCAAAATGAAAGTAAACATAACAAAATCTAGGACGACGAAGAAAATTTAATTACGATTGAAAAGAAAATGGAAGTTGTAAAGCAAATGCCTTTTGCAAGGTTTGGAGAAATAATTTAGAGATAAGTGTTGTGTAGAGAAAGTATATACAAAATATTCTGTATCAGCAGGCAAATCTGCCTATTGATTCGTGCACTTTTCCTCACTTGAGCCTAAGGTGTGAACACGAAGCATCCTTAAGAGGATTCAACACTGATCAAATTAAGGGCCCTGTCCCTTCTAAAGGGAGATAATTAAGAAAAGCTATACTTGATATGGTAAACTTTGCATAGTTTCTGGTAAGAGCAATTCAACTGTATCAAGCAATGCTCCACATTTCCTGATTTTGTGCCAAGTTCAGATTTTAAGAAACTTATCAAACACAGGCACGTAGCAACAGGGGGGCCTGCCCCCTCCCCCCACTGTTTTCCAAAGACATTTTTTACTATTGGAAATGTTAATTGAAATGTCGGTTGCCCCCCCCCCCCCCTCCCCCTGTTTGTTGTAGAATTAGAATAAGGGTTTTGTAGTAGTGTATGAATAAAATTTGGTATAAAGAAGTTGGAACCTCCCATTCTATATGAAAATTGAACATTTCTGGAAAAAATTATGTTTCAACAAATTTGTGTATTTGAAGTGACACACATCAATGACAAGAAGACCTCTTAGCAAAGGGATTAACATGTTCAGTCTTCCGCCTAACCTTGAGCTATGGAGAGAGTTCGAAAAGTGTGAAGATTTTTCTTTCTTTTCACCTTTTCCCATACTAGTCTTAAAACATGTGATAAACAAGATGTGTTTGTGAAACACTGATGCCCCCATATGGCAGCTTATGGCGAAGGTTAAAGTTTCTCAAATGCAAGTCAAAATCCAGGCCTAAAAGATAAAAAATGTTGGTACCCAAAGAAAGGTCTTGTCTCGAGGAATATACATGTGAAATTGGAAAGACCTAGCTGCAGCTGTTCAAAAGTTATGGTGAAGGTTAAAGTTTTTTAAAAGTAAGTAAAACGTCAAGGTCAAAGTGGTTGGTATCCAAAGAAAGGTCTTGTCACAAGGATTACACATGTGAAGTATGAAAGCCCTAGCACCAACCATTCAAAAGTTATGACAAAAGTTAAAATTTTTCGAAAGTAGGTAAAACTCCTATGTCAAGGTCAAAGGGTCAAAGTGGTTAGTATCCAAAGGAAGGTCTTCACAAGGATTACATATGTGAAGAATGAAAGCCCTAGCACCAACCATTCAAAAGTTATGGCCAAGGTTCAAGTTTTTCAAAAGTAGGTCAAACTCCTAGGTCAAGGTCAAAAGGTCAAAGTGGTTGGTATCTGAAAAAAGGTCTTGTCACAAGGATTACATATTTGAAGTATGAAAGCCCCTGCTCCAACCATTCAAAAGTTATGACCAAGGTTAAAGTTTTTCAAAAGTAGGTCAAACTCCAAGGTCAAGGTCAAAGTTGTTGGTATCCAAAGGAAGGTCTTGTCACAAAGAATACACATGTGAAGTTTGAAACCACTAGCACCAACTGTTCAGAAGTTATGGCCAAGGTTAAAGTCTCATAAAATTTTGCAAAAGTGGGTCAAACTCCAAGGTCAAGGTCAAAAGGTCAAATATGATGGTGCCCAAAGAAAGGTCTTGTCACAAGGAATACACATGTGAAATATGAAAGTCATAGCTCCAACCAATCAAAAGTTATGGGCAAGGTTAAAGTTGACAACAGACAGACAAACGGATAAACAGACAAACAGACAGAACAAAAACAATATACCCCCGGGATCTTTCGATGCGGGGGTGTAAAAATAAAAGTATTTTAAAGAATATCATGTATAATGCTTAGCATGTTACGTAAAACTTTTTAACTCATGCTTAGTATATGCTTAAAGTTAATTGTGGTCTTTACTTGTCTAAAATTCTTAAGCATATTGCTTCAAAGGACCATGCATTCACAAAATAACTTGCCAAAAAAAACATTAATAGATATATAAAATAAATCATAAATAAAAATTAAGAAAAAAATAATGAATAAAATTGAGTTATATACTTCAGGTATGCAGCGATTTTTTTCTACCCATTGGGAAAGGGTCCGGTACTGGTTCAATTGGGAAAAAAAGCATCGAAGTAGAACATTGGAGAATTTCTGTCATTTAAACAAATGAAACGTATTTTGCATTTATTCCAACCTCATTACCTATTACTCTGTGTTTTAAAGAATAAACAACAGGTATTTATTGTTTTTCATATCAATGTCCCTTTTTTCACATTTTCCTGCTTTCAATTTGTCAAAATGTAAGACACTACGCTGTCTACACCACAGTTCCCGCCATATTACGACATCTCTAATTTCAATTTAAGCGGAAGTGAAACAATTATAGTCAACTTGTACAATGTTTCATTTAAAAAGAAATATGATGTCATCATAGTCTGTTGCTTGACAGTTGAATTGGGAATTTTTAGTCTCAAAATTGGGAAAAATTAACGTTTTTTGGCATTGGGAATGGTACAGTTTATTGGTACCAGTTATATAAGGAAAAAAAACATTGGGTATGTCACTCGTGAAATAGTTATATCAAGGATTAAGTACTCATATACTTGAAATCGCAAAGAAAATTGGGGGTCAGTGTGCATCTTACTGAGCGACAGTACAATTAACTTGACCTTTTTACACTTAAATTGTACCTCTTAGGTTAATCCAATTCCCTTTAACTTTTACCATATTTTATCAGATGTAATTATGGCAATAAATATAATCTTATTTCATGTAAAATAGTTTGAATAATATTTATCATTGAGCAAATCGTGCAAGTTAATGCACAAGAATTATTGTGTAACCTTTTTGCACTAAAAATATCATATGTAGGGCATTAAAAATCTAAAAAGGCAATGAAATATTTTCTTGAATCAAACTTTATATGATTTAAGTGCTGATCATTGGAAGTATGGAGTAGTTTAAAATAATGAAAGAAAAAGTTGGGGCCAGTGATGTAAATTTTGAAATATTGGTCAAAATATGTGATTTTCAGGTAAAAGACAATGTAAATTTTATCATGATTTCTTCAATATATCTTCATTTCTTGGCAAAGTCTGTTGAGTGAATGTGTAAATATTCATTGAAGCCTATATATTCCTAACATATTAAAATGGAAAAAAAATTCTTTGAGTAAAAATATGTAGGACTAAAGTTCCAAGATATTAGATTTAACAAATGTGTAGATTTGAAGAATTTCCTTCTAAAATTCCTTCCACCAATAGAAATAGTCCCCCATAAATCTTTTTTCTTATGACTTTGTAAAACATACTTATAACGAAGTGCCGGTTTATTCCCCAAACATCTACTCGCTAAATCAACTATTTAATTATCACAATTAAGAGGCCCTCTAAGGGGTCCAGGTAGAGTTTACCTGTGTTACCTTGATTTAACAAAGAAGACAAAATTAACTGATTTAATATTTACTGATAAAATTGTGTACTAAAGCACAGATTTATTGGTTAAATACTTGCTGTAGTTGAAGGTACTGAACAAATATTTTTTTTCACATACATGTACTAAATATTTTTATTTAAAATACATTTAAAATTCGAAAAAGAAACATAACTGCACAGGACATGTAAATTAACAGATAGCATGTTTATGAATTATTTTCAAACATTACTTTTTAGCTCACCTGAGCTGAAAGCTCAAGTGAGCTTTTCTGATCACATTTTGTCTGTAGTCCGTCTGTCGGTCTGTCTGTAAACTTTTCACATTTTTGTCTTCTTCTCCAGAATCATGGGGCCAATTTCAACCAAACTTGCCACAAAGCATCCTTGGGTGAAGGGTTATCAAGTTTCTTCAAATGAAGGGCCATGCCCTCTTCAAAGGGGAGATAATTAAGAATAAGTGAAAAATTAATAGCATCTTTTAAAAATCTTCTTCTCAAGAACCACAGGGCCAGGAAAAATGAAACTCATGTGGAAACATCCTTAGGTAGTGTAGATTCAAGTTTGTTCAAATCATGACCCCCTGGGGTAGGGTGGGGCCACAATGGACCAAAGTTTTACATAGAAAATGTATAGGAAAAATCTTTAAAATTTTCTTCTAAAGAACAGCAAATTCCTGATTGGTCATAACTTATATGGAAGCATCCTCAGGCAGTAAAGATTCAGGTTTGTTCAAATCATGACCCCTTGGGGTAGGGCGGGGCCACAATGGAGGATCAAAGTTTTACATAGAAATATATAGGAAAAATCTTTAAAAACCTTCTTCTCAGGAACAGCAAAGCCATGATGAGTCATATTTATATGGAAGCATCCTCAGGTAATGTAGATTCAAGTTGGTTTAAATCATGACCTCCTGGGGTAGGATGGGGTCACAATGGAGGATCAAAGTTTTACATAGAAATATATAGGAAACATCTACTCAGGAATTGCAATGCCCTGATTGGTCATATTTATATGGAAGCATCCTCAGGTAGTGTAGATTCAAGTTTGTTAAAATGATGACCCTGGGGATAGGGTCGGGCCACAATGGGGGATCAAAAATTTTACAAAGGAACATTTAGGAAAATATCTTCTCAAGAACAGAAAAACATGTTTAGCATGTTTAGTCATTTTGATATGGAAGCATCCTCAGGTAGTGTAGATTCAATTTTGTTCAAATGATGACCCCCGGGGGTAGGGTGGGGCCACAATGAATGGGGGGATCGAAAGTTTTACATAAGAACATATAGAAAAAAAATTCTTATCAAGAACAGAAATACTATGTTTAGTCATATTGATATGGAAGCATCTTCAGCATGTTCAGGTAGTGTATATTCAAGTTTGTTCAAATTATGACCCCTGGGACCCCTGGGATATGGAGGAGACACAATGGGGGATCAGATTTTTACAAAGGAATATATAGGGCCATTTGTTATATTGACATGGAAATATCATCAAGTAGTTTAAAATTCAAGCCCCCCCCCCCCCAATTCTTTTCAATACTGAACTGATTTACTGATTTGTGCTTTTGCCTAACCAATGTGCTCAGGTGAGCGATGTGGCCCATGAGCCTCTTGTTTAACCTAACACTTGGCACTTGAAGCATCACTTA